GGGCGGCAGGAAACGAAGGTCACATACCCCAACGGCCCAAGATTAAAAGCAGGAGAGAGAGAGGGGGGGGGGGGCACGAGATACTATGACGTCACCGGCAACCAAATGTCGTCCGACTAATGTAGAATCAATGTGGGTATGGTACATCAGTACGACGCGGGAAAGAGACCCTCTTGAAGAACGTCGGTCGTAGTTACAGCATGCACTAAGGTAGGGCGGGAAATAGACGTCGTAACCTTCGGCGTTGATTGCCTTTAGCGGTTAGGGTGATCTTGCGTTTGTGCATGCAGCAGAAATTCCTGGAACAACCCCCAAAAGGCCGAACATGGCAAAGGGGGGGAAGGAACGATAAATAGGGAAACAATGAGCGGCGGTTTCAAATCGAACAAAAGGAACCCAGCCGCGCTATTCAGGCCTTCAAACGGCCCCGCCCACACCAGACTAGCTTGTTGGGGAACGCTCTGCTCGGAAAGACGACCAACCCCGAAGAACACGCCCGTCACACCGATCGCAGTGCTGATTCCACTGATTTTTTTACCTTGTCTCAGCAACCAGTCCGTCAATGTTTGGCTGTCGCTCCGTAGCACTGTACGGTTATCCTCTGACCACCCCATGACCTTGAGTAAACCCCCGCACCCAAAATAGCGTAGAAAATTATCCTTCATTTTTTTAGTCTTTTTTCAACCGACCACTACCACCGCCACCCCTACCACAGGAAAGAAACAACAAACCGCGAAGCAATGGCTCCTTCACTGGTGTGCAAACCATGAAACAGCAACAACAACAACAAACGCCTGTCGGCGGGGGGGGGGGGGGGGGGGGGAGGGAAAGAACCCCCCTTTTTTAAAAAAAAAAAAAGGGGGGGACCGGAAATTTTTTCCAACCAAAAAACCCCCCCCCCCCCCTTTAAAAAAAGGGGTCCCAAAAAATTTTTCCCAAAAGGGAATCCTGGGAAACCAAAAAAGGGCCCTTTTAATTCCCCCCCAAAGGGGAAATAAGGGAACCAAAAAAAAGGGGGGGGGGGCCCCCAAAAACCCCACGGGAAAAGACAAAAAAAAGGAACCCCCCAAAGGGCGAAAATTTGGGAAAAAAAACTTTTCCC